TCTTCCTGTCTTGAAGTTGAAGTTGTGGATTTTGTAATGAATAAAGCTGCACAGTCTGCTCATCATAATTGTTCTGGTTTTGTGCTTTTGCATTTTACCATTGAAAATTAGTGGTGGTTTTTACTAGATCAGTGCAAGACAGTTGTTTACTACTTGGTCTTTGTACTAAGATAAAAGTTTCTCTACTTCGTTTGAGTAAAGAAGACTTGTCTTTGTGCTTCTGTAAGAAAAATGGAGAGGTTAGTTGTTTTTCACAGTTTAATTATTTTTCTCTTTTTTTTTTTTTTTTGCAATACTCTTAATTGTTCCTGTATTACTTATGTTTATCAATTTTGTTACTATTTATAAGGTATATGTTAATCAAGGAAGTTGGTGATGGCACTTTTGGAAGTGTCTGGCGGGCTATCAGTAAGCAGACTGGGGAAGTTGTAAGTGTCTTCTGGTTCTCTATCTCACGATTCTCCAAGAAGCAAATAGTTTTCATTTTTAAGAACTTTTGATTTAAATCGACAGGTTGCAATTAAGAAAATGAAGAAAAAGTATTACACTTGGGAGGAGTGTGTCAGTCTGAGAGAAGTGAAGGTGATGCATCCTTAATTTTTCCTATCTTTTTCTTATTGCTTAATTTTTCTTTATTTTGAAATTAGTTCATTTTTTTTTATTGTTCTAATATGACAGTCATTGCGCAAGATGAATCATCCAAACATTGTCAAACTCAAGGAAGTTATCAGGGAAAATAACATTTTGTACTTTGTATTTGAGTACATGGTTAGTGACGTCCTTTTGTCAATCAGAACATGTTTTGTGTTAAATTATTTTCTACTTGACTGGACAAAAATTTGATGTTCAGGAATGCAATCTTTATCAACTTATGAAGGATAAAGAAAAGCTCTTCTCAGAAGCTGAAGTGAGAAATTGGTGCTTTCAAGTCTTTCAAGGCCTTGCCTACATGCATCAGCGAGGATACTTTCATCGGGACCTTAAACCAGGTATCTCCTTTGTTCTTGTGTCTAGTAAAGTGCATTGAATTTTGGTCTATCATATATTACCTGCTTCATGCATTTTGAAATTGATCTGCCCAATTCTTTAGGGTCTTTTAATCTTCTAGAGTCTGTTGAAGTGTTTGGCCTTCTTTAAGGCTGGTTGTATTTTCACATGATAAAGGTATAGAATTAGTAGATATGATAGCTTTCTATATAGCAATCTTTTGGAAGGAATTTTGAATCAGGTTTCAGAGGTATTGTATGATAGAATTGGTAAATGTTGTGTGAATTCTTTGGTGTGTACTGCATGTTATCGATATCTTTCTGTTCTGTTATGCATATTGTTTGCATTTTTGTTGTTTTTTTTCTCAGTTTATTAGTTCTTTGTTTTAAACTAGCACGATTCTTGCCAGTTTTAATATTATTCTTTCTATGCAGTATACCTATAATAACTTAAGTAGAACTTTGACTTCCTTTCTTATTTTTCATTTTTGGTTTATTTAACGTTACTCATTTTTCTTCCAGAAAATTTATTAGTTGCTAAAGACTTAATAAAACTGGCTGATTTTGGGCTTGCTCGTGAAACTAGTGCAGTTCCACCCTATACAGAATATGTTTCAACCCGGTGGTAAGTGCATTTTCCACTCTTGCCTATTTTAAATGATGTATTTCTTGCCATTACATTGATTGCAGTGATGCTGTATAGTAACTTTGAATGTTGTATCTCAGGTATAGAGCTCCAGAGGTGCTGCTTCAGGCCTATCTTTATGGTCCTAAAGTTGGTGAGGAACAGAAATTTTTTAGTTGCTCCAATTCCCATAAAACTTTACCCAATATGCTTATTTCCTTCCTATTATTTCCAGATATGTGGGCAATGGGTGCTATTATGGCAGAGTTGTTCACTCTTCGTCCTCTTTTCCCTGGAGCAAGGTGTGTTGCTAATGCACATCCACTTGTTACTTGTGAATGCTTAATGCATAAAAGTTATTAGTGCTCAGCCAACTATTGATGCCTTGGCTTTCTAAGAACTTGCTGGTGTTTTGGTGTCAACAAAGACAAATAATCTTTAACTCTGTACTAATCTGTGGCAGTCTTTTATTTTCGTTTGCTTTCGTACTCTATTTGTTTCTCTTTCAATAATCTAGTCTGCATCATTTAGTTTTCGCGAGGATTTATCGTGTGAGATTCATATCATCACCCTTATGCTTGCGATTATATTTCTGGACCATGCCTGTAGTGGTTTTTTGTCAAATAATACCAGAAAATGAATGGTAGGCCTGCCTGTAGTTATTCTACATAACAGTTGAAATTGTCAGCTAATTTTGTGAATTCTCTTTATTTGTTTCATGCAGTGAAATAGACCAAATCTACAAAATTTGCAATGTACTTGGCACCCCAAATATGGATACATGGTCTGATGGAGTTTTTCTTGCAAGGAATATCAATTATCAATTCCCGCAGGTCAGTCTTCTATGTCCTTTTTATCTTGCCTGTAACTTTTGGAACAAACAACCATGAAAAACATATGTTTGATGTTTATGGCTGTTTCACTTTTGCAGTTGAATGGAGTTCATCTCTCTGCTGTTATTCCTTCAGCCAGTGAAGATGCTGTCAATCTAATTGCAGTAAGTGCGCAATTAAATGGCCGTTGAAACTATTTGGTCTTGACCTGTTAAAATGCCTGTTTTTCATTTGCTTAATGCACCTTGTATATTACTTTATTTATTTATTTTATTTTATTGTGTCTTCAGTCACTTTGTTCATGGGATCCATCCAAGAGACCGACAGCTGTAGAAGCCCTCCAACATCCCTTCTTCCAAGTAGAGTTCAGCTTTCATTTAATAGATCAGCAAATGTGGTATAATTTCATTTAATTTTTTCTTATATTTATCTAATGCATGGCAGAGTTGCTACTATGTTCCACCATCTCTTCGTGCTAGAGCTCCAGTTGCTCGGACCCTTCCTTCTGGTATGTTTATTTGTCTCCCTGCTTTTAAACATGGTAAGCTGAAAGCATTACCCAGTTGGACAGCTTTTGATGTGTTCTTCCCTATTACAGCTGGAACAAAGGATCTCCTGGAGCAGCAAACTGCTAAAAAATATCCTGGCGCTCTATCTGATTCAAGGATCGCTGGCAACTTCTCTCCAAAGGCGCCCTCGTTGTTGTGCGTAGGTAGTAATATATTTATTCCTTTCTGGTATTTGCATTACTAAGATTATATTGACAAATAGATTAGCTTGATTCCTGAATCATCAAAACCATCTCGCAGGCGTGCAGAGGAAGTTGGATTTGATGAACCAGGTGAGACACTGACCCCTCTCCCATTACACATACAAATGCATTCACACTCGTGATCATGAAAATGATTGGCGATATTATTCTAACCATTGTTTTGTCTTGACTTTGGATGCAAATAAGAATGATAAAAATATGAAGAGCACTGTTAGACAACCGAAATACCGACCGCCTGTGAGGAACAGCCCTACCAGTAAGTTCTTTGGTTCTTGTTGGACTACTGTCTATGATTTTAAAATGCTGCTAAAGTTTAAAAGTTTATGGAAGTGATTATAATCCTGTGGAGCTTATGCCCATTGCAGACTCCATCTACAAGGGAAATAATGTGCGTGGAGTTTCAGATGCAGGTGAAAAGTTGGCAAACATGACAATTGCCTCTCGCAGGCCATCGATTGTGCAGCTTCCTCGGCCGATGAAAGCGGGTGTCCTCTGGAGCGGTTCCTCCGGTGATCTGTTAATAAGGCCCGCCCAAGAGATTCAACATGGCAGCAATTACCCCAGGAAGGTTGCAGGTTAACAGCCTCTTCCTCTCATAATCATCGATGCCCTTACAGTATTTTGTTTCTGTTATTTGAAGAACCGCAATGCTACGCGCCCCCCTCTGGGAAAACTTATGTAATAAATGACTGCCGACTGTACTCGTCTGTTTATGTTTACTGTACTTTGTTTGATACTCTGATTTTCTCCATTTATGCCCTCTATGAAATTACACACTTATCAGTAACATTTACCAAGGCCATTATCTGATTGTCATCTCTCTACAAGGTTCTGAAGTTTGATGGTTAATGTGGTACTTGTGTGTTTGGTAAACATGGTTTTTGAGAGCAGACATTGTTAAAAAAAATTTGGATGGAAATGGTAGTTCCTCAAAAAAGAATAAAAGAGGCAAATTTGAAATTTCAAGAGCTATCTATTTTTGAAAAATGAGGACCGAAGGGAAAGAAATTTTGAAGTATCTTCAAAAGGGTTTTTTTATTCCTTCATAATGAAAGGAATGAAAAGACAAAAAGAGAGGGTGTAGCCTGGTGCATACGGTAGAAATCATTGGATAAAACATTGAATCAATTCCAAGGTCATGCCAATCTAATCAAACCAACCACCGTGACTCAAGCCATCAAAGAGCGTGATATAATTAATTATATGCCCTCTCACAACAAAATGAAACGCATTATTGTTCCTAATTGTCCACCGTTAATGATGTTCATATTTTTGGTCTTGCTTACCCAACAAGATTGTCATAAGCCTTTATACTTTTGTGTTAGAATGCTAATTGAAATCCTTTATACTTTTGAGATAAATTTTAATCACGCTCTTTGTATTTTAAGTAATTTAAACCTTAAAAAGAATTGAAATAAATATATTTTTAATTAAGTTAGAAATTCAAATTACCATCCTCAGATAACACTGTTAACAACTAACAAGACTTTACTTACCATATAAACTCATTTTTGATGTTATGTCCGTTAATTCATAATACAATCTTTTTAGTCCAACACATCATATGATGGGTTTAGGGATTGAGTTTATTACTTCATTTCAACCATATAGAAGGTTAGGACTATTGTTGAAAATACAAATGACTTACAAAATGTTAAAAATTTCACAGATAAATTTGCTAAAATGCTTATATACTGTAGAAGAGTTTCATATCATTGATTAAAAATAAAAATCAATGCTTACAAGCAAGAAACTGATACATTCAGCATGAGATAATCCAACTATGAAGAACTTCACCAGGGAAAGCTCGTAAACTCCTTTTTGGATATTTATAACAGACAGCAACAAATGATCATAATAGATTGTATAACGAATATCTTGAAGAAAAGAGGAAAAAAGGAAAGAAGATGGATGAAAATAAAAGAATTTTGACTTTTAGAATTCTGATTGGAAAGATCAGAAATTTGGTTTTGTATCTATTTGGTGGTGCAAAAATCTCCATATATCCCAGCTGATGGCCTTTTGTGAAAATTACATTCTAAAGACAAAATTTTTGGAACATGAAGGTGCTCCTGAAACTTTCTTAATTTTAAACCTGTTGCTGCCATCATCAATAAGTTATTATAGGTATTGAGCTTGGATTCTCTCCCTGTTCTGTTCCCACCATTGCTTTGCGTTCACCTCCCCGAACCTTTCACGGCTGTTCATATTGAATTAAAGAATATCAATGTTAAAATATCATCACTAGTCTAATAGGATCAAGTTCTATAATTGTATGAGTCGATTGTATATTTATTTTTAGAATATCCTCCACCCTACCTAGGTTTTCATCCCAAAAGAAAATCCAAACACAATAGAAATCTCTTCTCGATTGGTGTTAATAAAGAGTTCGAGTATATTCATCACAGAAAATCTATTATTAATATTACTATAGATGCAAGTAAATGCAGATGTTAATTACCTGAATCTGACACGACGAAGCTCTCTAGAGCCATCAACAAGCTGCCTGATTGTTATGTAGACTCCTGGTTCGTCTTCCTCGACCCATTCGGCCTCGATGTCGCTTGCATTGCTAACGGAAATTGAAGGTTCGTCTCTAGAAGAGGTAGTTGTGCGTGAGGCTTCCATAGATGACATGTCGCCTTTGGCGCCCCCGGTTGGATAGGCACTTGACCCTGCATAGTGATGGCTGCTTCCATGATCAAAATGCTGGTCAGATGGAAAATAACCTTTACTTCCTGAAGGTTTGTGGTTTTTCAGTGCCCAATCTTTGTTCGCTGCAGTCATTGGGCTATCCCTTTCCATCTTTGAGTAAGAAGAATCCCTCTGAAGATTGGAAACATTTACTCAATATCAAAAAAAATCCATCTCATGATTGTAAATATTTACTGAATATACTGAATTAAGTTACAAGAAACTTGTTTAGGAATTGGCATAACACAGATTTATTGCCATAAAATAACACTATCAGATGCGTTTCATTGATATATTAGCAGAATGAACTGACAGATAATTTGAAATTTCATTTGTATTCTGAGCTGAAAATTTAGATTTGTTGTCAAGATTAAGACCTCTTGCACCATATCTCCTATTCTGCTACCACATAACTTATAGAGACCTAATAATTTATACAAGAAATGAAAGAATGAGCATTTGATTAATCATTTTTCTCTCATTCTTTCGTTTTTCCTTCAATAATAAATGGTGGAAAATATCAATCACGAACAAATTTACTAAATTCTAATCCTTGAAATATATACTCTTGCATCATTTTAATGGAAGTAGAAGTCAATAACAAAGTTTGTGAGAGCTCACCTCATCCTCAGTTCTTGGTGGCGTATGAAGAGCTTGTTGGTTGAATCTCTGGACATTATAGAGCTCCGTTATTCTGTCATAGTTTTCGCCCCACCATCGCTGAGCTTGCCATTTGTTAAACATTTCTCGACTTCAAAAGAAAAAAAAGACCAACTTATGTTAGCTTTGCTAGCAATGGTAAATACTAACTGAAATACCCCCAAGAGAGGTCTACATTTCTTAATGAAAAGTCCCCCTTTTTCTGAAATAAACAAGATATTAATTATAGAAACAAGAAACCGACAGCGTGGAGGATTTACTGTTCATCTTACTCGAAACGAATTCGTTTTAAATCATTGCCTCCATTGGGTAGGGACACAAAAGTAATGTGAACACCAGGCTCCACCTGTGCCATCCACTCTTTCGGCTCATCCTCATCCTCAAGCACCACATCACATGCTGATATGGTGGAATCGGCTCCAGGGGTCTGGTCTCCTCTGAACACCCCTTTAAATCTCGAGGCAGATCTCGTATGTGGGTGGCGATTGACAGGAGGGAAGTCCCAGGCAGGTGTTGAACTTGCACTTGCCCCTCCTATGTAGGGGTATGGAACCCCTTCTGAAGCAGTGTCAAAATCTGGGTAAGGTCTTTGTCCTTTCTTATAGCTACTGGAGCCTGTGCAGGGTTTGCACTGCCTATAAGCACCAGAGAATTTCAACGCCATGTCCTTAATCTGTAAAAATTAGCTATCCAAAGTCAGATCAAGGACGGCTTAAGCAGCACTTAGTATCTTCTAAAGTACAATTAAATACTGAGATTATGGATAGAGAATCAAATTGAAAGCAAAGATGCAAAATTTAGGATGTTCTAAGGCAGTTATATGAATGTCCAAATTGAGCTGAAAATCCAAACATTAGTGGTCTTTGAGTCATCCAACACAGAATAATACGCTCTCTTTTTTTAAGCTATGAGAATATATATCGTATTCAATGCATTTCACTATATTAATAATGGATTGAAGTGTGCAATCCAACCATTGTGAATCAAAAATAATACGCATGAAATTGACCAATTTTTCTTTGGTGAGAGACACATCCACGTTTCAATTATGTGGAGCATACAGAATGATGTTTCGGGAAAGTGGAATATACAACTTGGAGAATTATTTTGGAGGACATTTTCCTTCGATATTTAAGAATAAAAATAATATCACAAGAATCGAAATTCCTAAACAATCAATTAGAAAAAAAGGTCTCAGTTGTTAACATCTTATTGCTAATCAAGTGGTGGCTCATCCAGCAAAAGAAAGGGCTTGGTTAAGAAACAATACTTTTGAAAAACAGTGCGTCGACAAAAATTCAATGGTGGGTCACATTCAGGCGTTCATTGGCTGTCCTTCAAATGCGTCTTGTATATGAATATGTCAATGACCCCACCGCTACTCGATGCAAAATGTGCTGCCACTATTTCTTGTGCAAAAACAAATTTCCAAGGCAGGCTGGACCAGGCACCCCCGACTTAAACTAATCCTATAATCGGTTCTATTATATAAACTATTATTTATAAGCAGTTTTAATTTCAACATAGCAACAGTAAGGTTGCATCGTCCAAATGTTTTACCTTCAAAAAAGAATTTTATCTAATCTTCAGAAAGTTATAGCAAGACTAGCGACCTTACAGTGAAAAGGGCAACCCACTGTTTTGTCACTCGAATAATTATAAGTAGGAAGTGGATCGGAAAGGCTACCCTGAAAATCAGATTACCATTTCATAATTCCCCGAGAGGAAAGCAAGCAAAACAATTCGTACTCGTTGGAAGGCTCGAGGTGGGGAATGGGGATCTTCTCCATATGGATATAGTAGTAGTTTTACCATTTGGGAATAAAAACTATTAAGAAAAAGCCCAAAATTCTATATTCTATCGGCCATCGAGGGGCCAAGACGAGCAGCAGGTCAGCAAAGTCAGATTTATGATACGAAGTGTCCCCAAAAAAACCACGTGGACGAGAAAGTTGTGAGTAATCGGTACAAAACATTGGTAAGCTGTTAAAGAAACCACTCCTTTTAGATGACAAAACAAAAACAAACACAAAAACAGAGTAACCAGGAAGAGCTGAAGGACGAAGGATTAGAGCGCGTCGCACTCAAACACAAGCACAAGATCTTTCCTACCTAAATTTGATCTTAAAAAGATTTAAAAAGAAATAATAAACAAGAGGCACATTCATATTGGTGAAAAGATGGCATAGATGGTCCCCATTTATAGCAAGCCTAATTGGTATTATTAGTTTGTCTGTCCTCACAAGACGGAAAAGAAACTGAGAAAGCAAAGATGCAGCCGAAGCAACACAAAGAAAAAAGAGACAGAAGAGGATTAAGAACCTGCGTTGTCAGGCTTTTGACGGCTTCCTTTGTACTAGGCGTGCCACTACCACGCGCAGCCCCATCCTCACCCCCGTCGTCTGTCTGTTTCGTACATGCTATGCATGTAAACATTTTGGTTCAACTTTGCTTTCTTACTCTGCACATCACAAACAAGTAGGTTCCACCTAGCGGTTTAGTGGATGCTATATTTATGAAAGAAAAAGGAAATCCCAAAAATTAAATTGCATAATCCAATAACTTTCCCTTTGTTTCTCTCTGTCTCTGCCTCTCTCTCACACTTTCTCCCGTGTTTTGATTTGAGGAGAAGAAAACAAACGAGCCTTCTCTTTACCAACCACATTTCTATGAGAAATAGACATGTAATACTCGAATTATAAAGCACAAGAAGAGTTTTCCATTGTAGGGATTTCCATAATTATAAAACGAACTTTCGTGAGGAAATCAATCGAAACAGAGCACTGATTTCCTTGTTCTTTCATAGCGTAGGTAGTCAAAGAAAGGGGCGAGTTGTTCTCTCATCTCAGCAACAGGGACGCGGCTAGATGGGAAAAAAGAAATTGAGGGAATCTGAAATAAATATAAATTCGTTCATCGATTGGCGGGAACAAATGGGTCATGGAGAAAGGAAAAGGAGATAAAAATAAAAAAGGAAAAGGGCTGCTCGGGATCAGAGACGACGAGGAAAAGATCAGAGAAGGAACAAACAAGAGGGGGTATAGTCGATAATTGAAAGGAAAGTAAATGAGGGCACAGCTATTTGAAAGTGGTCGACTGAGAGAGACCGAGTGTGGTACGTGCTTTGCTTTACTATTACAAAGCCGAATAAAGAATCAAATATTTGTTAATGCCGAAGTTTCTGACAACTTATTGGTTCTTTCTCTATTCCCTCTGGGCAATCGCATCACTCTTCCGTCTCCAAGACATCCAAAAAAGCGACCAAGAGAGAGAAATATGCATTAATTTATAACAGCAGAGATTCAGAAAGAACAAGAAAAATTAATCGGGTTCAGATTGAAAGCTATGCGTGAGGCGACAGAGAAACAGAGAATATGGAGGATGGATAACACAGACATAGAAGAAGAAGCAGAAGAATGACGAATATATATATATATACTATTCATCTACTTCATTGAATCTTTAATATTCGAAAACGACTCATCGAAGCAAAAGCGAACTGTGATTTACGTACTTTGTCCATTTAGGCCTTCACCTCTTCGACACCCTAATTAAGTTATCTTTTACAGACTTTTCGCTGCTATTCTTTATTTCTCTACTTCAGAGACTAATCTAATTTCTTCACCTTCAGCAAGAAAAACGAAACCAGATTGACAACCTAAGTCCTAAGGCTACAGGGATCAACGGCTCCGAGATGGAACCAATCAATCGATTCAAAAATGTTAAACACTTCTGAGTACTGAAATGGCGTTCAGTGAATCTATACTGAAAGAACATTACAGAGGATAGATTGAGAACCATTTGAAATCGCTTTGGATCGTTCAAAACAGGACACGAAAGGAAAAACGACCAGAAGAAAAAGAAGAACCATAGAAGAAGATTCTCTGAGAAAGTGATGCTCTGTTTGCTTGCATAGAAAGACGATCAAATTGAAGAAAATGGAAAAGTAAAAGCATCAAGAATCTTACCTCGCTCGAAGGCTCCTTAGAAGCTTATCCACCAAAATCAAACTGAAATCAACCGCAAGGTTAGGTCGCCAAGAAAATCTCCACCTCCAAAAAACGAATTCCAACTCCTTCTCTCTCAAAAGTTTCCGTTTCAAGCAATCCTCGCTTTTATCACTCCCTCGCTGCAATGGCAACCAACAGCAACAGCAATCAAAATCCCTAAAATATCGCCAATCAGAGCATCTTCGTGCTAAATTTCTGCTGTTACACTGACGAGCAAAACATTCCCTCACTCCACTACACTTCGATTCTCTGCCAAAATCTCCAAACAAACAACAGAATCAAAATGCAATTAAAAACCCGAAACAAACCCTCGCCCGGTAAAATCGCCGCCGTCCACCGGCGGCGAACAGCAAGGTCCAAATCCAAACAAAAAAAAGTTGTTCAGGAAGGGAAAGTTTGGGATATTATAGTTCCGGGTTTTACGTTAGAGAGAGCCAAAAATCGGAATAAAAATTATACAGACTATCAAGAAGTTAACTTCGTGAGCCACCTATTTATATAAAGAATTAGCGTTAACGGCGTCAGAATTTCAGCCGTCAAGTAACGAAAAATGTCTTTCTTGTGTATGGAAAGAAAGGGGAATTGTTAACAGTGGATTGACGTTTTGGTCATTACCGTGGATGACAGCCTGGGCCCACATGTCTCGGTGACGTATGGGTGAGGAGGAGGATCTCGAACGTGCATCAGAAGTAGGGTACGTGGCGGGTTTTTATTGGATAATATTCTATTAGTAAATGATCAACGGTGAGATTTGTTTAATGTAAAAACTGACGTGGATACTAAAATTCTCAATTAAATATTATTAAATTGATTACATTGTTTAACTAAATTATTCATTGAAAAAAATATTTTAAATAAGTATTTATATATATATATATATATATATATATATATTATAGACATCATTAACTATCATGCAGGATTTTAATTCAACCCGTCTTCTATCCTTTCGTGAGATTATAAACGTTTTTAATTCTAATATATTTGAATGTAAAAAATAATTATTATATATTTCTAAACTAAAAATGAAAAAAAATAATTAATAATAGGTATTTATATAAAAATAAAAATAATTATTATTATTATTATCGCGTGTTTTGTTAATTCGAGCCATTATTCAGTAACTGATAAAACATTTATTACATTATTTAATTTCCTCACCCATTTAATTTAATTATTCAACCTAATATACTCTTTATACTAAAAATATAATAAACTCTCTAATTTCAACTAAAAAATCTAATTTATAATAGAATTACGACGTTTCCTACCAATGTTATTTAAGAATATTCTCTATTTTTTTTTTTTTATCTAAACACGTTTCAACAATTAAAGAATAATTAGCTTTTTACTAGGAGGTAAAATTTTTATATATCGACTTGTAATCGAAGATATAATATTTTAACTAATTTAAATATTCTGTTGTATGGTTCCAATTATATATTTAACTTTTTTTTTTAATTGAATATTAAAAAATCAATATAATTTTTAATTTTTTCAATCCTTAATGACTTTTTTTTGTTGGGACTTTTAACTCAAGCCACCTTCCATTCAAAATATAATAATATTTGCATATAATTATCAAATATCATAAATTAATGATATTAATTTTGTTAAATTATTGTATTTTATTATTTGGCATATTAATGTTTTTCCTAAAATAAATGGAAAAACACAGACAAGGAGACAAAAATATTTAGATTTTATTTAGTTATAAATGATTTGAAATTATATAAAAGAAAATTGATTGAGGATTCCATTTTGAATTTTAGTTAACATTTCACCCAACCAACAAACAATGAGGGCATGTTGTCTCCATATAAAGAGAAAATAATTATTTTCTAAACTATTTAATTTTAAATGCTTTTAATCAATTTTATATTAAAATTTTAATTAATTTATTTCTTTTATTTTATTTTATTTGGGTTGTGTTTAAAAACTTTTCATTTATATCCCTAAATTATCTGATTTAATTTAAAAAAATTAAAGACTTTAACTCAACCATTTTTTAAATATAATTCTAACGATAAATTTTTTTAATTAAATAATAATTTAACGTGACGTGGTGTGATAGTAAGTGACACAAACAAATAAGCTATCTCGATGCGATTAAATTTCAACGGTATTCAATCTTCATATTTTATCCGACATTTTGACATCTAATGAGCCTACCCGTTATGTTACATTAACACTTAAGCAACGATATTAATGACAATATTACAATTATAATTTTTTTAATTAAAAAATTACATTAATACAACTCAACGTAATTTTTAAATTTACGTCTATTTTGGTCGTTGAAAATTTAAAATTACTAATAGATCTCGTTTTTTTAATTTTATATTTATTAGAATGTTAAAGTTATAATATAATACAGATAAAAGACAAAATTAGAAAATCTTTAAAAAGTTTTGTACAAATTAGTAGATTTATTTAAATTGTTATTGGACAGTCACGTAAGTAAGCAAACAAGCTTCTGGTGGGGACCACTGGAAGGTATAATCCAATCAGATTGCACGGGTGAGGGACTTTGATGCCCTACAGGTGATGATATTACCCAAGAAATTAAAAATAAATAAATAAATAAATAAAAAACCAAAAATCAAAATTGGAATTGCTGGAAGAGAAGATCTTTGAAAGCTTCTGTCAAAGCTAATCGTAAAAAGATTCTAAGAAGCAAAAGCCCTTTACCTCTGAGGTGTGTTTGTCTCATTGTACTATAAATTTCATTTAACCATTTTTATTTTTATTTTTATTTTTAAATTTATTTATTTTTTTATTTTTTTTTATTTTTTTTTTTGTTGTTGGTGATCCTCCAAATATCCCCTTTTTAATTTAATTTATTTTTTTTAAAAAGGAATAATTTGAATATTTGTCTTTAATTTGAATAATCACTTTGTTTTTCTTTTTGCTTCCTTTTTTAATTTTAATTACATGTTATAAATCTTGACATGTCACATGTCACATCGATCTCTCGATATTCGAGAGTCATCCATACATATTTGTCTCACGTGATGGATATTTGGAGAAAGAATTTACCCATAAAAAAAGGAAACGTCGATAGTCAACCAATAAATTATCGAAAAATTTACATTTCTTCTTTTCATTTTCAATTTAACGTTTGTAAATAATATTTTAGTTTCTAGAAGAAAAAAACCCGATGCAGTCAATTTAACCTCTAATAGGTAAAACGACGTAAAAATTGTGGTTAAACACGGTGAAATATTAAAAAAGAAAAAGTCCCGTCAAACCCACTGATTCAACATATGCATATGGTGTCACAAGCATGTGTATTTCCTTTAGAAAAAAAAACAGCTTTTTCTTCGGTCAATAAATTTAGGAGTTCTGAATTGAACGCTATATTAACTTTATAATAAATAACAAACGGTATAAAGTGTATTAATATATTATTAAAACGTGTTAAAATTTATTATTTCTAATTTTTAACGTACGAAAATAATTTAAATTTGGATTTGAATAAGAACATATGGAAGACAAACTGAGAGTGAATGTTCCCTTCAAATGGGTCTGTGGAGGCCGCTGAAATTGGTACGTTTGGGGCAGAAATGGGGCACCTGAGTACCGGCTATGACCGGTGACAAGTCCTTCGAGAGCCTGTTTCTCTACGACATACAATACCTTTGGTCCACCCACACGTTACTGGCTGTTGTCGGTTGTCAGTCAGCATTCAAGATTTGGCTTATTCTTTGTGCTTTGTTAGCTTGGCAGTATGGTCATTCCCCAACCCCATGCAATCTTTTTTTTTTTTTTTTTTTTTTTTTTCCTTTTCCTTTAATTTATTTAATTTTTGTTATTATTGTTATTATTATTATTATGAATTTGACTCTTTTAAACGTTTTGAGTCGATTTTATTATCGTCTATTTCATGAACGTAAGATCGATAACTATTTTGATTTTTATTATTATTTTTCATTAATTATTCAAAAAATTGATAGTCGAGCTTGAAGTTGAAGGTGTGGTATGACGTGGACTGTTTGATGAGACATGATAATCACTGACTCATGGAAACAACGGTGAGCTCAAGATGTCAGTGTAGTGTGAAAATTCAAACCTCCGACCCTTATTTGTCAAGAGTATCTGTGAGATCCCGCATAGGTTGGAGAAGAGAATGAAACATTATTTACAAGGGTGTGGAAACCTCTCCCTAGCAAACGCGTTTTAAAAACCTTGAGGAAAAGCATGTAAGGGAAAGTCCAAAGAAGATAATATCTATTAGTGGTGGGCTTTGGGCTGTTACGAATGGTATCAGAGTCAGACATCAAATGGGGTGGACACGAGGAGATGCGCCAGCAAGGATGCTAGGCCCCAAAGAGGGGTGGACTGTGAGGTCCCACATCGGTTGGTAAACATTCTTTATAACGGTGTGCAAACTTCTCCCTAGCATACGTGTTATAAAAACCTTGAGGGAAAACCGAAAGAGAGCAAAAAAAACACAATATTTGTTAGCAGTGGGCTTGAGTTATTTTTTTTTAGTACAACCAGTTATGCAATTACTCGTTAGTTGTTTATTAGATCTTCCACGTTTTAGTGATAAAACGTCTTAACTAGCTCAACTATGTTCGGGTTGACACGAGTTTAAACTGGGTCGTCACGAACTTAAGTCCTGTACTCAACTAGTAAAGATAGAGATAAACAGTTGTCTCGGGAAATTAGTTGATAGATACTCGTAGGTATTATAAGAAAGACCCGACCATACTTTTCTTTTAAAACAAAAACAAAACAAGGAGACACATTGTTGTCTTCATTTGGCTTTATTCCATCCCTCAAAACCTCTCTTTAAGCAAAGAATGCTTGGAATAGAGGGACAACAAAACCAAACTCATCCCACCACACAAACACTTCTTCTTTCGCTCGCTTTCCTCACCTGCGGGTAATTTTATTATTAAATATGAGAATGCCACGTGGCGGCAAGTGAAGAAGGGAGGCACCAACTTTTGGTAAAGTGAAGGGTGACACAAGATCTTGTTAGGCAAGAAAAGCATATTCAAGGTCTAAAACGTCATTTCATCCCATTTTCCCCTCGATCCCATCACTCGTGAATTCTAAAAGCCTTGCAAACATTCAAATTTTACTTTTATTTATTTATTTATTTAAATTTCTTTCTTTTTTTTTAATTTCTTAAACTTTTCATCTTCTTCCTTTTTCCCTTCTTTTTTTTATGTCCATAATTAGTTGTATTTTTCATTTTGGTCCGTTACATATCGTCCACAGTCTCACAGTTTTAAAACACATCCACTATAAAGAGGGTCTAGCCCTATTCCAACCACCAGTGTTCTCGATTGGCTCTAATACCATTTGTAACAGCTCAAGCCCACTGTCACTGATAGTAAGTATTGTCAGTTTTGGTCTATTACGCGTCATTTTCAGCCTCACAGTTTTAAAACGAGTCTGCTAGAAAGAGATTTTCACACCATTATAAAAAATGTTTCGTTCCCCT